CCTCCTCACGTCCCACCTTCCTCTCCCGGAATCCCAGCTGCAGTGAGTGGGCTCCGGATGTGCTGCTCCGCTGGAGCCGGAGGATGCCGTAGCTCCTGGCCTAGGAGTCTGTGTCTGCTTTCTAACCTCTCCCCCCAAGAAGAGGTTCGCGTGCTCCCAAGACAGCCTGCTCATTCTCTCTGCGCCTGGCTTTATCTCTTTAAGAGTCTGTGGTCTCTCTTCGTGGCTCCTCCTCTGCAGTTTTAAGGGTGGTCGGGCAGAGGTGGGAAATGAGATAAGAAGAAAACTTTATGCTTCACCAAGTGAGAATGCTGGGTTCCTTCTCTCCTGCAAACCTCCTGGACTGAACTCAGCCCTGCAGCAAGGCCATCACAGGGTCTGGGGAGATCTGCCTAACTCAGGAAATGTAGTTTGTTGTGGATTTCTGGATTAGGTTAAAAGGCCGAAACCTTTCTTTTTTCGTTTTAAAGGTAGAATCATTACCACATAGGCTATTTGAGTGCGTCTAAGTCTCATACACGGTGCAGGTGCATTTTAATGGCTTTATGGAAACTCTTTGGCAACTGTATTTTATGTTCTAGGATCTAAACCAAAAACCTTAAAAGCCTTCTATATTATTTTCCTACAAAATGAGAAGAGCCCTTTGATGCCCTGATATCCAATTCTTCATGACTTTTCTATGTATATTCAAAATAAACTGACAATCATTCAAAAATTAGACCCTGTAAACAGAATCAGATGAAAAGATTCTCCCATGTACTTAAAGGAGTCAAGTGAAGTGAACATTGCATTGTAATTCAGGAGATTTCTGGAAGCCAAAAGAGTACGCAATGTTAAAAAATGTCCCCGTTTGAATTTTTAGATATGTTGGCCGAAACTACATCTCTCAAAGTTATGACCTTTGAAAATTTGTTGTAGGTTCCAAAACTTCAGGAGCTATTTGAATAGTAATACCTAGTACATCTATTTCCACTTCAATCTCAGATGACACTTGTGCAACGTTTTCCAAAAGATATTAAAACAGAACTCAATAATTACTATTAATTTATAAATTTAAATCTGGGATTAAAATGAATGCACAATCTGTAATTTAAATGAAAGGAAAAGCTACTATTTTTAACTCATTCAAAGAGGTCTTCCTTAATTTTCCTCATTTCTACTGTGCTAACTCACAGGAGAAGGACACAGAATCTGCCACTGTAATTCACAGAAGCCCTAATGACCTAAACACTTATCAGATAACTTAGAGAATACTAATGTACTAATTTTCCCCCAACAAAGGAATTTATTTTAACCTAGTTGCAGGGAGCCTTGCCAGGCATCTTAGAATGTTTCAATTCCTGCTCCATGCGTGGTTCAGATGATAGCCGGTCCACCCTCCACCATTACTTCCAGTTCCCAGCCTCATCTGTCTACATCAGAATTTGAAGAAATGCTTTCTTAATGATACAATAGGAATCTTTCATCACGTTTTAAAACCTCCTTCTTTAAAATTAAAACTAACAGCGAAAGCACAGAAATTATGCCTCAGGTGAAACCCTGATGCATGGCAGATGTCAGTAATTTTTAACATAAAAATGGTCTTCCTTAACCTTTGTAACATACCTCTAAAAATGATGTGTGCTGTTTTTTACAAAACATTTGATGAGGAATGATGCTGTGACACCCCTACCCCTCTAGGCACCCTTTAACTTGTTTAGCATAGTGATTGTCATCTAAGGCTGAAGTGATCACTTAGCACATTTACTTATTTTATGTACACATTTTCATATCTATCTATCTATCTATATTCTAACTTACTGTTCCTAACTTGTTCGCACAATCTTTTCGCATTTAACTTTCACTGACACTAAAGTTTAAAGTATAAACATTTGTTGAACAAGCAATAATTGTATACATCTTGAAATAAAAGGCTCAGAGTATTAAACTCCAGATCTGATGTAAAATAGAATCTATGAAGGAATTGAAAGTTTAAAATTCCATATTTGGAAACGGTAGTCCCTACCTGTCTTGGATTTGTTCTGTTCTGATATTCCCCACTATTCCCAGAGTTCCTTAAACCTCTCCCTCCAAGGTCATTGCCATTATCTCTGTTAATCCATGAGGCATGTTGGTCACAAGAGTAAAAGCCCACTCATCGTGATGCTATTAATGACTGAGGAGTCTTTTCTCTATATAACTGAACATTTAGGTCTTCAAAGAGCCTGCTTTCAACACTGAAATAGTCTTGAATGGATTCACACTTCAGTTAACACTTGGTTATCCGTTAATACCTCAGTGGGGATTAATTGAAAACTTGCTAGGAGCAAAACATAGCAGGGAAGACCAGGTGGAGAGTATTGGGTAGGAGGGAAGCAAGCTGTAAGAGGGATGGCAGGAGAACTCACAAGTCAAAGTGGGTGAGGAATACTTTATCCACTCCTTCCTAGTCTTCTTGAGAGCCAGTCTAGGAAATTGGATAGTAAATAAGTCAGTGCACAAAGTGGAATGTGGTATATAGGGTGGCTATAGTAAGTCACTGGTGTTAGGAAACTGACAGCCTAGATCTTGATTTCATGTTTCTGTTCCTACTTCATAAAATCAGAACCCACAGACAGAAAAAGGTTTTCAAATTCCCATCCTAATCTGTGTCACTTATTAAATCCATCTCTTCTCTGGATTTTCTTAACCTCATTTTCATATTTGCCACAGGTTCAAAAGATAAATGCAAAGTATATAATGACAGGGGTCTGTTTCTAATCATCCTTGAGGTTGTATCTATGAAGACCTTTAATAGAATTTCATTTCTATAAATGCACATGCACAGCAGAATTTCATCAGTTATTTTTTTCTCAATTATTATTAAAATATGCTAATCAGTTGTTATCCCTATCCATCACAGGTATAAAGAGGAAAGGCCCAACTTGTACATCCTCCATGTGCCAGGCATGGAGACAGGGACTTTACATATACTGATGTCTTTTGATCTTCACCACCCATGCAAGAACCCATAGCTAGTAAATATAAAGCAATGATTTTTTTATAAAGTTCTTAAGAATGATTATAATACACTGCTTTTATATTTGTTCTCTTTGTATCATATTTATGCTCTTCAATTCCACTGCCTCTAGGTCATTTCTTACCTACCTGTGCCATGTATATTTATCATTTTCTCATTAAAATCTAGAATTCATCTTTAACTAAAGTGTTGAAAAGGGGGAATTGTTAATTCAGGAAATTTGATAAACTATGGTGGAAATCATTCTGCTGCCACGCTGAGCCCAATAGTCCCTGTCTCAAATGACAACTGTGTCCACTAAGGCCTTCAGTCTCAGCAGCATCAAGCCAGGTCCTAAAACTCAAGTCCAACTGGTTGACTTAGAAGGGAACTGAGCAAGCCCCTCCTCATCCTTACACAAAAATACTTGCCAATCAAGCAAATGTTTGCCTATTCTTACAACTATCTGGCAGAAGATAAGGAGAGATAAGCATTAAGGGGCTTCAGAGTGTCTGGTGTTACCAAAATAGATAGTTTAATGATAGATAAATTATTGTAAAAACATAACTTGGCCATTTCTAAGACATTTCATCATCAGGATAGAAAAACATATCTGATTTATAAAAGTCAACCATTACACTGGGTCCTTATGTCGAATCTATCTATGAACTTCAGTATGTTGAAAGAGGGGAAAAAAACAAAATTTTGAGTATTAGAAATTCATGATCAAACTAACAACCTACTGATACCATCATAAAACATGTCAAGAAGTCTGCCTGCCTCCAAAGGGCAAAGACCAGCAGAGTTCAATCACCAGTACCAAAAACAAAACAAAACAAAAAAACAAACAAGCAAAAAAAAAAAAAAAAACCATTGCAAGAAGGAATCTTTTAAGTCCACATTTTGGAAATATATGTTTTGAAACCATATGTCTTATAAATTATTTGTTCTTAATTATATAGAAAGTGAGCTTAAAAAAACTGTATGGCATTGCTAGCATGAGATGCTAACAGGCTTTTTAAGAATTGTTTTTAGAGATGACACTGCTTAAGCAAACTGACAATATATCAGATACCTAATTTGATAAGCAGAACCTCTTGTGATTTAATCTTATTTAAAACATTCAATAAACAGATTTTGAAAGTTGTAATAAATATGAGAAACACATTAATCAGTTCAATTGGTATGACTCTTAAGAGTTTTTTCCAGCACTTAAATCAGAGTGAACCTGATTAAATTAATTGATTAATAAATAAATGACACTGAGAAGTGGTCAATGAGACAATTAAAATTTGTTTTTAAAACTGAGATATATTTCTTGACTTTTCAAAGGAAAACATCAAAAGTTTCAATAAGCATTTACTGAGGGTATGAAAATTTTGAGGAGTACAAGTTCCCAACAAAATAAGACATAAAATAAAAAACATCTTTAAAATAATTTCAGTCTATGCACTGCACAGAATTGCACACATTCTTTTATTAAGCTTATTCAATTTAAAATCTGTGTGTGGAAAAGCTTACATAACACCACTGTCCTTGAGATTCATACTGGTATCTTTTAGATTTTTGTTAGATCTGCATATTTGTTAATTCAATAACCCTAATATAAGATTGTATATGGGCTCAGTTTATTCTTTAGGGCAAAATGTTACTTGTGTACATTATGGTCCATAAAATGGCTATGTTAGTTCCAAATCTGGATCTACAAAGAACTCTTTTTATCTTTGCAATTTTTTTTTGCTTTCTCACTTTTGCATGACTAGTGCAAATAGACTTTATGTATCATTCTTTATGAATCATTATTACTTAACTATTTCCAAAGAATAAAAACTCCTCCCACTGTTCTAAGGCAAATTCTTACCATTGAAGTTT